CTCCATTCCGTGGTTATTGTGCTAGAAAAGGGGTACGTAATGTTTGTAAGTGTCTGTTGTATGATAAAAAATGTAAAAAATTGTCACCTTTATTTATACAAAGTGATAAAATCTTGTCCATTTATTGATTCACATGAAACTTACCTACTTTTTAAAACAAGCTTCGTTTAATCGACAATAACTCTAATAGAAAACTTTAATATTATAAAAAATGCATAATTCAGGTTTTATTAAAAGAAGTTGTTCTTGAAGATAATGATATTCCTAAAGCACTCCTGGATTATGTCTGCAAGAATGTACTCAACAACATTGTTGTTGGGGCATCAACAAGGAATGCGCTTGCCAGGTTCTCTCTTAACACGCTCAGAAACTAATCTTTCAGTTCCATTTTCTCTAAATTTTGTTTCTAATTTGTTATGAATCTTACAGGAAGTTCAAAAGTTATGATGTATCAGCTAGTTTATTGAAATCAGCTCCGGATTTCTGTTCCGTGTATGTAATTTCCAAAGGGAAGATCATCTCAGTGCGGACCGCTCAGCGGCCTGCTGCTAATACTCCCGCCCCTCCAAGGCAACCGTCTGCCGGAATTCCACCTCAGTTCCCATCCGATCGCGATCGCGGCGATGGAGACGATGCCTCCAGGTAGCTAGCTAGTATTGGCGGGTTACATTAAGTACTTTGTTACTGTATATTGAATGTGTTTGTTTTGATGTTTTATTGAAGCAGGGGACAAGCAATGAAAGGAATGTTTAGGGTTTCAGGATCATCAGATAGAATATCATGGGAGAAAAACAACGAACAACCGAGAGGAGCATCACGGGATAGACAGAAAAGTTCTCCAACGAATATGTCAATGGAAAGTATCGAATATGCTCCTCGTGGATCAAGGAGTTCAATGAGCCGTGATTCTTTTTCCGACAATTCTGAGTATTCAGGGCCACCTGCTGTGGGATCCATGGATATGTCAGCTCATAATCTAGATTTCTCAAGTGTCAATCTTAGCCCTGCAACTTCAGCATCTTCAGTAAGTAGTGAATTCCTGTAAAAAGGGTTTACTCATAGGACTTTTATGATCCTAATATCCTTCCGATGTATTACTTGCAGCGTGAAATCGAGTCCGAGATGAGAAGATTAAAGCTGGAACTCAAACAGACCATGGAAATGTACAGCTCAGCTTGCAGAGAAGCACTCAATGCTAAAAAGAAGGTAATTACATATACCAACAATCTTATTGATTCCTAATATTTTATGTGCTTCCGCGATATCCCTATTCCGAGTTTGATACACTGACTATTCATATGCAGGCTAACGAGCTTCATCAATGGCAAATAGAGGAGGCTCAGAAATTCGAGGAGGCTAGGCAAGCCGGAGAGGCAGCTCTTGCAGTTGCAGAGATGGAGAAGGCTAAGTGCCAAGCTGCAATTGAAGCAGCCGAGAAAGCGCAGAGGCTAGCAGAGATGGAAGCACAGAGAAGAAGGCATGCAGAGATGAAAGCTAAGAGAGAGGCTGAAGAGAAGAACCGCGCTCTGAATGCATTGGCACATAATGATACCAGGTACCGAAGATACAATATAGAGGAGATCGAACAAGCTACAAGTAATTTCGCAGACTCCATGAAAATTGGTGAAGGTGGATATGGACCTGTGTATAAAGGCAAACTAGATCACACCGCAGTTGCTATCAAAGTTTTAAGACCTGATGCTGCTCAAGGCAAGAAGCAATTTCAACAAGAAGTAAGCTATTATTTTCATTTTCTTGAAGCCATTCAATTTCAGTATGAAGTTTTATTATGTAAGAAGTTACATTATTCAATTTTTCTCTTCTCAGGTTGAGGTTCTAAGTTGCATTAGACATCCAAACATGGTGCTTCTTCTTGGTGCCTGTCCTGATTATGGATGTTTGGTATATGAATACATGCACAATGGGAGCTTAGAAGATCGATTGTTGCGAAGAGGCAACAGCCCTCCACTTTCATGGAGGAAAAGGTTCAAAATCGCGGCGGAGATTGCCACTGCCCTTCTGTTTCTTCACCAAGCAAAACCAGAGCCGCTTGTGCATAGGGACCTGAAGCCGGCTAACATCCTCTTAGACAGAAATTATGTGAGCAAAATAAGTGATGTTGGGCTTGCAAGGTTAGTTCCGCCTTCTGTTGCCGATAGTGTCACACAATATCACATGACTTCAGCTGCAGGAACATTCTGTTACATAGATCCTGAGTATCAACAGACAGGAATGTTGACTACGAGATCGGATATATATTCACTGGGGATAATGTTGCTTCAAATCATCACGGCGAAGCCTCCAATGGGTATAGCTCACCATGTTGGGAGGGCCATTGAGAAAGGAACTTTTGAAGAGATGCTTGATCCAGTAGTTCCTGACTGGCCTGTTGAAGATGCTCTAAGTTTCGCGAAATTGGCTATAGGTTGTGCAGAACTGAGGAAGAAGGACAGACCTGATCTGGGGACAGTTATAGTACCAGAACTTAACCGGTTAAGAGAGCTTGGAAAGAGGGCGGGTGAATCACTCCAACTTAGTGTTGCCAACCACCATGGATACAGCAGTGTTCATGGTCGCAACTCTGCACCGCGTTCTCCTTTGACAAGTTCACATCCAACCATATCTAATACAAGCCACTCGACAGATTCAACCTAGCCTTAGACTCAGATTAAGAAGGCAATACAACGCGTTTTCGAGAATTACTAATCCAACATCCTAGCTACTTATCTTTTCAATAAGAAATCTGTTCCTGTTAGATGACAAGAAGTCCAACACCATCTTACATATGCAGGTGACCTACACAATCAAAGAAATCTTAATGTTTATAATACCAAAGTGTAGGATGTTGTCATGTTGTGCGTGCTTAAATTTATTTTAATTTTTGTTTAGAGGAGAAAATGTATATTTTCAGTCTCCTTTTCCTTTCAGTGCTTGTAAAAATTTGCTTCTGCAAAACTTTTGTTCTCCTTGTTCTTGCAACATGAATTGTTATTCTTCTGATTATCAAAATTATACACTTCTTAAATTATTGGAACTGATCATATCCTTTTCTATCTTATTGTGAGATGCCTCTCTTTAGAGTGTAAAATATTATCAGTTGTGATAATCATTATATTGGCATTGTTAAGGTGAAAAAAAAAATTATATTCAATAATTATTGAAAAGCAAATAATATTATGGTTCTAATAGTGCAGAAAAAACACAATCAATCGGCCAATAAGAGTATTGCTACGTCGACGTGAGTGGAATACACTGTTCTTCCATTAGTAAGTTGTATTGCATCATATTGAATAGAAAGAAGATCTTCCAATCTTAGAGCATCGCTAAATGATTTTTTATATAACCTAAACTCTTTATTATAAAGAGTCTATCTATAAAAATAAGAGTCTAACAAACTATTTATCTTTTAAATATAAATTAAAAATAAGAGTCCAACAAAATATTTATCCTTTAAATATAAATTAAAAAGTGAGTTTGACTCTTCACATTTAGAGAATCAAATTTCACTCTCTATCCTGATTTTAATTAATAAATTACAAGTTTCTATGCATTTTATTTATTAATTATCTCTCCTATAAAGTCTCTTTCTTGAAAATAAAGAGTATTTTTCTTAAATTTAAACAGTCTATTGGATTTGAATAAAAATTTTGTTCTTTACATATATAAATTAATGAAGATGCTATTTATTTATATAAAAGATGCTCTCTAAAATAAAAAGCACCGTTGGAGATGTTCTTACTGAGATAACTATTTTAGAGCATCTCTAATGGTGCTCTTTATTTTAAAGAGTATTTTTTATATAAATAAAGAGCATCTTCATTTATTTTTAAATATAAAGAACAAAATTTTGATTAAAATCTAATAGACTCTTTAAATTTTAGGAGAGAGAATATGTTTTTTTAGGAAAGAAACTTAATAAGAGAGATAAATCATAAATAAAATATATGAAAATTTGTAATTTATTATTTAAAATTAGGATAAAGAGTGAAATTTGACTTTCTAAATGTGAAGAGTCAAACTCACTCTTTAATTTATATTTAAAAAATAAAGAGTTTGTTGGACTTTTATTTCTATAGATAAACTCTTTATTAAGTCATATAAAGAGTGCTTTAAAGATGCTCTTATAGAATATCCTAATAGAAGTAAGAACTCCCCAAAAACCTGCCATGGAAAAGGGGATTCGGAAGCCCATACCTTAAAGAAAAGTATAAACTAAAGAGAAAAAGCACAAAGTTTGCTACTTAGATGATCATATTGATTCCCATGAAGATGGATTATGCTTAGAGAAAGGTATAATAAAAAGAAAGAAGGACTTTGGATTCCCCCTATAAGTCTAGTCTCCGTATGAAAATGAAATTATAATACAAATACACTTAATTAGCTCCAAACTCCAAGGAGATAATGAATTATATTCATATCCATCATCAATAGTGTTTCACCGGTATGTTATTTAACCCATTAGCACCACATTTTGGGTCCCCCAAATCATTCAATCTTCTTTTCTGATATTGAAATTTTGTGACATAAAATTTACTGTTTTAATATTATAAGATTTACATTAGACATTGATAGGGTAGATCTTTGACAAAATACATTGAAGATTCTAGCTTTGCGACAGAGATCAGTATTTGAAACAAGTGATGTTCTAAGTGGTAAACTTTTTCAAAATCTGTACAAGAAATGTGCAGAAGACTTTAGACTTTCTGGTCCCATTTGGTCCAATGTTTTATGCTATGTCTATCCACATTCCACACACACAAACAGATACCCATCAGATCACCACTACCAGAATCTCAAAAATATGCGAGTTAAACTATCATTTATTTGTTTTTTGACAATTCAAAAATCCTCTGATCTCGCTTACCGATACCCAGTCTGAAACTAGAGCCCCGCAGACTCTGGCAATCTTCAGCAAGTGTGCTAGAAGTCTTTGACGATGCTGTCTCTTCCTGTTTATAAAAAGTCTTTTAAGTAATAAATGGCGATTTTAGACTTATAATACAAAGTAGTATTGGATGTCTAAAAATCCTTTGCGGATGAGAGGCGAAAAGAGAGGAAGTAAATGTTCTCCTTTACAGCAATACAAACCACTTCATTGTAAAGATAAGCATCTGCATCAAATTTTTTCAAAGAGCCATACACACGCATGTAGAGTGTAAAGCTCTCTCCTTCCTGGGTCTTATTTGCCTCACTCCCATCAAACAGTCAAGGGTAGGCCCAATTTGTTTGCCTTTTTTCTTATTTGGAAAAATGATTAATCATCATAAAAGTTATATATATATATATATAGTCAGAGGTCAGTAAGCATGATGAGTTTTTGAGTCACCATTCAGAAAGAAACCATATCAAACACTTAACCCAAATGGATCATCATGTCAATAGTCTTGCACTCTTGAAGGTTGGAATAATGGGGATGTTGATGCTTAGTAGAGTGGCATATTCTGATGACCAAGTGGGAGATCCTGACTCTGGTTTATTATGCATCAGTGATTGTGCAACATGTCCAACTATTTGTTCACCTCCACCTCCATCAAAAGGGTATTCATCTCCACCAACATCATCATCATCACCATCACCACCACCACCGACACCAGTTCACCATTCTCCGCCGCAGTCTTACTACCACTCTCCACCACCGCCTTCGCCACCCTCACCGCTGTCACAGTCGGCGCCACCACCAGGCAATTCATGGACTTACTGGGGAACTCCCCCACCTCCTTTTAAGTATGGTAACACACCTCCATCAGGTCAATCACCACCAACAAATGGACCCCATGACTATCCATATCCTTACTACTACTTCTATGCCTCCCAGGCCTCTTCTCTTTCCTCCCATTGTGCTTCCATTTTACTTGTAATATTGTTCTACTGTGTTGTGTTATACTATTGTTGAGAAAGAAAGCAGCAAAATTTTGGGTTTATTCTGGGGGAGGTGGATATGTTGGGGTCTTACAGCAGGGTGGTAGAGAATGAAAAGCCTCTGTGTATTAATTAATTTCTATGTGGTTGTTCATATATCTCAGCTTATAATTATTTGTTTGTAGTAGTTGAATGTTCAGAAATTAAAGTGATTATTTGTCTTAGAGGTTTAGAGATTATTATTATTATTGTCTTGTTTCTTTGAATTTCTTGGTTCAGTTTTCAATCAGCAATTGGAAAGCAATGTCTTGAAACTGTTCTGCTACATTATTAAAAAATATTCATGATGATGGTTATGGAGAAATTAATAATGTAAGTGTAAACTTCTTGATTATGGAGGATAAATTATTATTTCATAATATTCAGGCAATGAATATGGGAATTAAATAGACTATATCTATCTATCTATCTATCTTTGAGATTAAGAAATAGTTAGGTTTTCATGAGATCAATTGGGCAGCAGGTGTAAAAGCAAAAGCTAGGCATGAGTTAATGGCTTAGTAGGGAAGTTCATTTCAGAGGTTGGAAGAAAAGCATCTCTGTGGTTACTCTTGAAACTTGTATACTTAACTTGTGCCTAAATAAAGGAAATAAAACCACTCTAGCTATATGGAAACAATTGGAAAATAGAAAGATTTTAATTTCATTTATATTTGTATAGAAATGAAGAACATGTTTGTATTTCTCATTTTATATATTTCAATATAAATATTGATGAGAAACCTTGTTGTATAAGCTTTCAAACCTTACAATAATAAGAGTTTATGTAGTCTATATTAGAAACATTTTGGTCCTTATCACTGGCCGGTGGGTTGACACCGCTAATTATTAACCCCAATTTTAGGAACATAATTTTTCCATCCCTATACTTTTGTTGGGAATCTTGTCCAGCGGGATCGGGTTTTTCGGGGTATCCAACCCCGCCAGGTTTTTTTGCTATCCTAACATTTAACAAACTTTGGTTATTCTATTAATTGACTTGACTCTGCGACTAAAATGTTACTAAAAAATTCTACTCAGGCCAAACCTTAGGGATAAAAATAATTATCCCGGCTTATATGGACCCATCGGCTCGGTTCAAGTTCAACTGGCAAGTCCGAGCGGGCCAAAAATCTCAGATTCAATACACAACTGTTTTAAAATCAAACAGACAAAACGGATTAATCACCACTGAAAGCTTTACAAAACAATGCAGAACATCGAGATCTGAATTTTTTTTTCTCCAAAATCCGAAACCCGAAGCCGAAGATGGAAACGTCGACGGTGGCGAATCTCCTCCCTCTCGCCTCCGTGTCTCAGCAACCTTATGTCTCTGAGCTCCTCTCCTTCACTCTCGATCGCCTCCACAAGGTCTCTCTCTCAGATTTTAGTTTAGTTTCATTTTTAAGTTTGAGTTTTAATTGTTTCGGTGCATTTGTTATTTTTCTTCATTGACAGGAGCCTGAGCTTCTTCGAGTAGATGCGGAGAGGATTCAGAGGCAAATGCAAGAGGTAGCGGTGGGGAATTACCGAGCATTTATAGCTGCAGCTGATGCATTGCTTGCAATTCGAGAGGAAGTTTCTTCTATTGATAGACATCTTGAATCTCTGGTAATTACTTCTTGTTATTTGGTTTCCAATGTCGCATTGTAAGTTTTGAAGTAGTAAACTAACATAGATTGCATTTTATCATGTAAATATAACTTTAATTAGGATCCATTCGCATACATCAATTCACTGCTGAACATGCTGAGGTAACATAGACTTCTTTTTTCTCTTACTAATTTTGTCTAGTCTCTTGGTCATTTGACTCACTGCCTATTTAATATGAATAACTTTTTCAGAAGCTGAAGGTTCGTGTGATTCTTAAATCTTTTTTCTTGTAAATGAAATACAAAGAAGATATGAAATAAAGCAATAAAAATGCATGTGTGTGTGCTATGTGTTGTATCCTAGCCGTCTGGTGTAGAAAATTAAGATATTTTTTTACTATATATAGAAAACCATGCAGCTTGTATCTCTAGCATCATGCATGTTTCAATAATTGAATGCTCCAACCCTTAGAGACCAAGAGCTTAGAACTCTCTGTCACAGGGTAAACCACCGCCTCTTAGGCCCCCACTGATTCTACCATAGAGGCCAACGAAAATTAAAGGTTTTTGGGCTACATTTAATATTTTATGTAGGGAAATTTTGCTTTAGAAAATCCGTTATCAACTGAAGAGGCTCTATGTTGACAAAAGTATTTCTTCTTCTCAATTTTGATATAAAATAAATCTCCTTTGGATGCTAACACATCTTTTCTATATGATTAGTTATTTATTACTTAAATATGATTGATTCTTGTTAGTTTCTTGTGGTCGTAACTTGTAGGTGTAAATGAGGGTACTCTCATTGATGTGAGCTTTATTTGTTTGTGAGGATTTTGTTAATGATCCCAGATGAATTCACACCAGCAAATCAGAATTCACACCATTTCATTTGATATTTTTATCTTCTTTTTCTGCCATGAATAGGTGCAATCTTATTTTATAATTGGTCTGAACTTGTGCAGATAATGACTAATGGCATGTACAAGAGCCCAATGCACAGGGTGGTGACAAACACAGAAAGGTTGAGAATGTCTTTAGCCTCATTCATTGAACCAGAGCCGGAAAGAGAGGTAGGACCGGTGGAGGATTTGATAGACGAGCAAAGACCGAGGATATATCGCAATGTGAAAGATTATGGTGCTATCAACTATGAGTGCTATCAGAAAGGGTTGGTAGCACTTGAAACTGTTAGAGTTTAGTCTTTACCTCTGTTTGTTTCCCAGATAACTGATTATGTTGAAAGGGATATAATGACAACTTCAATTCTAGCTAGCTAAGATGGATGTAAAATAAATGTGTTACAGTGTCCGGGAGGCCTTTCCATCTTTACTAAATTTCTTAACTATTTTACAATAATAATTTTCATATGTAAAATGTGATGAATGATACTTGCTGAAGTTACAGCTGAATATTGGAAATCTCCAGCCGATGTTTCAGTTGCAGCGAAAAATGTGGATTTCATTATGTTTGTTAGATTCTGTGGCACATAAACATTCATCTTCCCTGGTCGGAAACAATATCATTAATCAGTAGAAAGACTCAGCTTCATGGAGACAAATTAACATTTATCTATCCTTTGTAGCACTGATTCTTACTGAAGTTGGTCTTTATAATTAGATGAATGTAATGAAAACAAGATATATCTTCTCTGCAGAAACTATATGTAACAAGCAGAATACCATGGCAGTCATTTGGATTTATTCTATATATTCAAGCTGATGTTTGTACTGTGTTATATGATGAATAAGTTATGTATTAGTATCAATCCTTAAAAACAGCTTTACACAATCGTATCACCCAAAACTGCAAGAGTACTTGAGCCATATTAAGATTTACTTTGAGAGTTGTTTCGGATGGTAACAATTAATACTCGTTTAATTAGAAACATGGGAGCAACCATATCTTAAGCATATTGGGTTCTATAATAGTAAAGGTTAATACAATCATTTTCCTGCTCAGGATGAATAATCAGATGCCAGAAAAAAAATATAAATTTCAGCACAGAGAAGCAGACAATCAAGAAAGGTTGAACAGAAAGCCAATTTATAGTATGGTTCAACAATTCATAAACATCTAGTATGCATTGTTTTTTCCTGCAATTCTTGGAATGGTTAACTTGATACTTACAATGTGTCAATGTACTTGGTAATGGCTAGCGTGTATGATTATCGAGACAGGTTAAACAGGAAAAAAAAAAAAAAAAACAAATAATCTCCATATGATTCCAAACCTTGAATTGATTAAGTAAAAGTAAATTCTTTCTCAGTATTTGCAAAACCATTCATGAATCCACATCAAAAAGGAGATTATAAATTTAGCCCTGTAAATTATAATTCATTCCTCGAAAATATCCAACAAAGCTCCTGCCAACAATACCATGGAGACAATTCATTTGTGCTTGTCACACTATACATGTCCTCTTCCCATTCCACCGTCTTCTCACACCGGATATATAACCGGAGGCAAGAAAGGTTAAAGATTCCAAAACTTGAATCATCATATTGCCGTCCTATATAAAATTATAATTCCATTCAGCTGAATACCCCAAACTGGGTGACATTACATATATATATATACACAGGCTTCCATTGAAAAATAAGTAACAAATAATTGTTAATTCTAAGAGAAGATTTAACTATCATCAGTTGATCATCACGTAGACATTTGTTTTGGCATGCAAATGTAATATTCCATTTCCGACTTCAATCTTGCATTTTTCTCCCTTTAAAATAAACATTTTGGAAGTATGTATAAGATTCAGTTGCATCTTCAAAACATAAGAATTCAAAAGAATCACTCTCCACCTCATCATAAACTATATTTCTAAACATAAGGTTAACTTGACGTGCTGCAGTTACGTGATTCATAAGTATCTCGTTAAAAAAAATTATGATCCCACAAACATAAGTACTTGCTGACTGCGTGAAGTCCATAAGTAAAAAACAAATTAACTCTAGTTTTGGTTTGTGTTTTAGAAGACAATAAGAAAAACAAGCTTTGTCCCTTCAAACAAATTGTTTTAAACCGGAAAATGTTATATCAGGTCTCAAAGTTCCTTATATTAATCAACCAAGTAATTGTTCATTAGTTTAGGGTACCAGTAATTTTATTAGATGCGATGGTTTTAAAATGTGTTCTGTAGATATCATATTCATCTAATAATAGATGTTTTATATCATTTTTTTTTTTCGTATTAAACCACAAATAATTAATGGTGGAGATAAGATGTAATTCAGTACACTAACCCTGAAAAAAAAAAAAACAATCAAACTTAGTTCATAATATAAAAGACGGAACAACCAAACTAGTTTACAAATTAATCTTCCTTAGAGCAAAACAACCATCTGTTAATTTGATATGTGTAGTTTGGGAACCTTTATGATTGTACCCAATAATAAATCCAAGCATTATCTTATTGATGAAAAGTAAAAATTAAATGTATCAAAGAATTCATATAAGGTTATCTAGCTAATATAAGCAACCAAAATTTTAGTTCCTGCCATTTCCTGAGCAAGGGAAAGTACAAGTTAGCTCACATCAGCAGCCCCAGAAACCCTTATAAATTTGTAGTAGCAGTCAGGCACCACCGCACCAGCATAATAGCATTGACACATCATAGTGAGAGGTGACAACTGTACAACAATGGCTCTTCAACATGCAGAGATAGTTTCACTCTCCAAGAGTGTTCCAGAAACGGCCATTAATGGTGATGAACCACCACCACCATATGTTCTTAAACAATCCGTTTTTGGTTCTATAGATGTTTGTCCTCCAAATGGCCCATTTCCTGTCATTGATATCAGTCTCTTATCACCATCTTCATCTGCTTCTCAAGCTCATGTACACAAGAAGCTAGAGAAGCTCAGATCAGCCCTCACCTCTGCAGGATGCATCCAGGTTAAATTACATATTTGTTTTGTATTTATTTATATTCTTTTGCTAGTAAGTTGAACTCTGATGACTTGAGAATTAATTTATTATATTTCAGAAGTGAAACCAGGTTTATTTGCACCTCATTTAAAGTTGCAAGTAATGTCAATTATCAAAACTTTGATTCTTGGTGGATCGATCACCGTAAAGAATCTATGGTATTATTCATATATATTGAATTTTACTTGGATGTAGTGAAAATAATGCGACAAATTAAAACAATAAATTGTTCTTTCAAGGCATTTACAAAGATTATATGATGAATATACTAAGTTAGTGCTCCTTAATATACCAAGTTATTGTATTTATTCTGTCATTAAAACAGGTGAATATACTAAGTTAGTGCTCCTTAATACTTAAAATTCTGATTAATCTTTCGAATATATATGATTGTCAGGTGATCGGTCATGGGATTTCAAGTTCATTCCTCGACTAGGTACGTGAACTCGGGAAGCAATTCTTTGTGCTCCCAATGGAAGAGAAGCAAAAATACGTACGACCAACTAACCAAATTGAAGGCTATGGTAGCAACATGATCGTCTCAGAAAATCAAGTCCTCGACTGGTCTGATCGCCTCTCTCTTTGGGTGTTCCCACAAGATGCAATAAACCTTCATTTTTGGCCTCAAAATCCCACTGGTTTCAGGTGCACTTTTCTCTTTTTCTTTTTTCTCGAATAATTATGATTAATTCTTCTAGTACCATAACATTAATATTAATATTCAGGGAGATGTTAAATGAATACGCGGAGAAGGTGAAAAATATCATTTTATTAATTTGAGCTGAATGCCTTACAAAATTTTTGAGTTGGATCTGAGATCATCTAATCCGGTTCACTAAAACCCACATAAATTTACTCATTTTGCATAAAGGAAGTGATGTGGAAGATATAGTGACTATTTTACATGATAATAATAATACAAGTGGATATATATATATTGATATTGATCTTAAAAATGATATGAATAGTTGAGAGAAATGATATAAATTCTTAATTTTCTAATTAATTTTGATTATAAATATCATAATTTAAAACTAATAATATCATAAAATTTGTTAATTAATTTTGAGGATATATTAATTATTATTAATTTTTTAAATTATATTTTATTACATGATATACTATTTATAAAATTACGTTTTTAATACACGATATATTACGTGATTTGATATTCGTGATTGAGTTTTTAAAAGAGTAATGTTATAATTATTGATGGGTGTACATCAAATTTGTACACTAAATAACATAGCTAAATTTTGATCATTTATTTTTTATCAGTTAATATTAATAAATGATTATGATTTTATCAAGTAATTCGATATTAAAATGTAAAATTTTTTTATAACTCTCTCGTTCTTCTTTTCAAAATCAAAATGAATCTTGTCTTAACGTAGGAGCCACCACGTAGGGACAAGGAGGGCCACTAATTATCAGGCTTAATATTATCTGAAAATGTATGTCGACTGTTTTGCAGCTTTTTGGTTGTGTGGAGTGTGAATATCCAACAGAACCGAGGAGAAGGTACATGTATGTTTTATCGGCACCTTATTCACCGAGAAGTAAAGTGATGTACGGAATGAACGATTGGGGACGTTGATGTGGATTTCATGAACATTATTTTAAATTTGTTAATGCTGGAATTAGGAGCAATAAACTAAACACTTTTTTCGGTCACAGCTGATTGCAGGTATGACAGAGCTCTGAAACTCACCGCCTCCTCCATCCTCTTCCTCGAGCCTCTCTCACCCTTAATTCGTTCACCTCGAGCTCAATGCACCTGCCAATCGTCTGAAATTGCCGCCTAAGTTTTTGTACGATTTGCCATCTTTCCCGCCTTTTTTCGGCCGATTTAGTCACCCAAAATGCCCCCTGCCACCACCGTTCGACTCCCTACCCTCTACTGTTCAAAACCCACCCCTCCCCCAACCCTCTGTGCACGCCATTTGCAGCCTATGTCCAGCTCTTTCCACCATGTGATAGTCGCGATTTGTGGCGGTTTCCTCCGCAAATCATTAGTGTTTGTAGTGCTGGATCAGTGGCTTTTGATTGGTTGTTGGTGTTGTGTATTTTCCGGCCATCGTTCTCTCCCAGATCACGCTAACCTCGCTGCCCCAAGGCCGCACACCACCGGCTCGATTAATTGCAGCACCTAACTCCCAGTTGGCAGTGGAAGAGGCTAAGAATATTTTCGTAAATCATAATATTTTGATAGTAAAAGGGTTTTTAAAAAATGGGTGGGTATGAATTAGTCATTTTTTGGGTGGGAACA